ATGTAGCAGTAAGAAACAGTAAGTTTTTGACTCCTTAGTTCCTCAGCAACATTATCTTGTGTGCTTTCTGTTAGACCCAATGGGGGGAAATCAGCACCAGCAGCTATAATAAGTGTAAGATGATGAAGCTTCATAGCAAATACTTCATGACTAGGAGACAGAGGTAGATGTTCCCCACCTACATAAACTTACTGATAAATTGTGTGAGGTTTTGCCTTATTCTCTAAATTTTACTGCCTTGTTTCTTGATCCTGCAACTCTGTGTGGAGCCAGAATCAAGAGGATGAATAAAGGGTTGAGGTCCTATCAGAAACTCAAAGCTTTGTAGAAACATACTGTTGGATCAAATTTGTTTCCATTATGTAAATATTTTCATGGGATTTTTTTAAAATGAAAAATGTTGCCATGCAATGGTTGCAACAAGATGCTCCTGCATGAAAACAGACAGTGAAAGCCTAGGTCGACTTACTGTGGTGTCTACACCATGCTGGGTCGACAGGAGACACTCTCCTCTCGTTCCCAGTGGAGCACCGGAGTCAACCACAGAGTGCTCTGCCATCGATTTAGCAAGTCTTCACTAGACCCGCTAAATCGACCCCCCAGTGCATCGATCGCAGAAGTGTTGATCCTGCAGTAGTGTAGACATAGCCTGAGTAAAGTGAAATTGACTAGTCTTTTTCACAATTCAGTCTAAGAAATGCAAAAAGGGAACATTTCACATAGTGAAGGTAAAACAAAGTACCTACCCCCTCCCCACAATCAGCTTCAAGAATCTAAGATGCTGCTTGTAACATAGTTAAGGAAGTTGTTGTTTAATATATATATATATATGGATTTTAACATGAGTGTCCCTTTATTACTGTAATTTACACTCTGATATATAATCGTAGTTGGATATAGCAGTTGCAACTCTTATTGTTATTCTTGTTCTACAGAAGGAATCTTAACTTTCCAACTTAAAATTTTATGCTTACAGTAAATATTCAACAAGGAGATCGTTTATAATGATCAAATCGAAAGTGAAATTGTTGGAGACAAGTTAAGTTTCAGTCTTCTTTTTGGATCAGTGGATTTCCTTTCATTCAGGAAGACCAGATACTTGAGAGAATCCTGATTCCCAGCCTTACTGACATTTGATAAATCTAGAAAAATGAAATATGTTTGCTTTATTACTTTTTACCATATTGCCATAATCCAATGCACTTTATTTAATCATCACTAATAAATGCCAAGAAGTATGGGGACACCACATGCAGAGATATGGAATTCATGAAAATGTTATTGTAATGTTAAGGAACCCTTATCCCTGTGGTATATCAATAGTTGTCTGACCTTTCCATCCTTCCACCCTGAATGGCTTTGGGCAATGGATTTAATTCTACATAGACATAACTCATCTTCAAGGTTATAATTAATAGGTCAGTATTTAATGATTACATTTATGCAAGCACAAATTATGAATCTGAACAATTACTGCTGTTTTGGACTGAGGCACAATTACCAGTAGTTTAACCACCAGAAGTACTTTTCTGTATGCATTTCTACATTTATAATTATGCAAAAATCCTCATCTTCTTCCTTGACCTTTAAAGCACCGTATGTGCTGATTGTAGTAAAAGTATTTTAAATGCTTGATGGAAAATTTATACAGTGCATGTACTGTCAGGCAATTGTATCATCCACAAATGCTAAACAATAATGTTTTAAGGTTGTTAGTCTAATCTGGTCAGTCCGTATAAGATTCAATCAAGCACAATCAAAAGGTACATGGCTGGAACACTAATAAGCATAAGGTGAAACAAGTGCACAGTGTTGAATTGCAAGAACTTGGTCTCTTAATATAAAGTACTGGGCAAGTTTCAAAATATGATATTTGCATATGCAAAAACAATATCTCTACTTATATAAATACATTGGTGATTGGCACACAAGTGCATGTATAGACTATTATGAAGTATATCAGCTGTGCATGCTATTTACAATTTTAATATAGGTATACATATGTACATGTTATTAATTCTAGAGTTGCTGCTCAAAAATATGTGAAGGAATGAATATTCCTTAGTAACTTTCATAAACAAGTTATATGGGCAGCTTCCATTCCTTCAGCGCAGCTGTGGATGAATAAAAAACTCTAATAAATTAGGTTTCATATATTGCAGGAAAAATGCAATTCACCCCATTATCAAAGAAAGGCAGGGGTGAAAGTAAGCTGGTATGGGCCAGTACGGCGTACCAGTAAAAAGTTGCCATCGGTACCATCCCGTACTCAGCTGATGTTAAAGCACGGCTGTGGCCAGTGCCCTGGACCCTTTAAATCGCCGCTGGAGCCCCAGGCGGCACTGGCCAGGAAGTGCGGATGGGATGACTGAGGGATACTGACCCCCAGCCCCGCCCCTTCTGCCCAAGGCCCCGCCCCTTCCCAGGGTCAGAACTGGCCCCCATACTTAATGTTATTTTCATGCCTGAAGAAAGGGAAAAGTTTTAGACATCTAAGTATCAGATTCTCTTAAAAAATTATCTCTACAGATCCCTGTTCTGGGACACGCATCCAAAATGCCACATTAGGTTCAAACCTAATAGAAATACTTGAATGTTGACAAGAGAGACAAGGTGGGTGAGGTAATATATTTTATTGGACCAACTTCTGGTGGTGAAAGAGACAACTTTCAAGCTACACAGAGCAACACGGTCACTTGGAACTGTTAGCAAAACTATCATAGTGCATAAGCAAGAAACACTGCCAGCAGACTTTGTAGTATGCAAGTGACTAGTATGGTGTGTGTGTGTGTCCTTGTGCACATGTGTGTACAAAATCCCTATAGAATCTCTGCAAAAATCTTCTTTCACTTAATAGCTTTGACTTCAATTTTCTCCTTCCTCTTCTCCTTAATTTTGGCTATTAGAATGCTTCTAATATTTGATTAGAAGAGTCTGAAGGCAAAACCTATGCAGTGAAATTGAAACAAAGAATTATAGCAGCATTTTTTTCCTTTCAACCTCTAAAGAAATGCCATCCTGGGTCCTATTTGAATATTTTAATGGGGATAATTACATAATGTGTAATCTTGTTAACGCTAGGCTTGTCCAACACAATTAATACAGATATGATCTTCTACAAAGAATGTGCTGCTGTATTCATTTCCCCATTGATATACAGCAGCAGGAACAAGCCACATGATTCTTATAACTTATTGTTTCTAAATGCAAAATAATTATTGTATAATGAAAATAAAATTAAATTAAAAAGTGTATGCCTTCTGCACCTTTACAATGCTACGGAAGACATTCCGAGATTCAATCTAATAAGTGTTCTACCAGTTTTTATCAGGGAACTATAGTTTGAACCCATATATTCAGGTAAATGGCACAAATCCTGCTGGAATAATTAAACCATTTCATTTTTTAAAAATGAAAATATGAGAAGATTTAAAATGTCATACTTTGATAGTACAAGCAGTACAAGCTTTAATTGTATTTCACCAGAATAACAGAAAACAGCTAAATTTCATGGAAATGTCTTAAATAATAATTTCATGAGGATGGCATCCTTTCCACCATTTTTAAAAAATATTTCAGAGAATTTAACAAAGAATGATATCTCTCCTATCTAATTCTAGTCAACAAGTTGGCTTTATGGGCAGAACATACAAACTAGAAAGGATATCATTCTCTGTTAAACCTGAGACCATATTGTTTTCATCCTGCTACATTCTAAAGGACGTTTACATAGTGTGGAAAAAGTATTTTGCTCGTAAAAGTGTTTAGAATGTAGTCCCTTCTGTTTAAATGCAATAAGTGTGTTGGCATGATTAAAGATTTCATGAAAGGAGTACAAACAAATTATGCAGAAAATAAACATATACCACTATCTACAAATGTTGCTAATGTAGATCTGCTTTTGCTCCCACTGAAATAATTGGCAAAGTAAGACACTTCTTGGAGAATTCATTTTGCGTGTCAGTGGTTGGGAGAAGGAAGAAAATAAAAAAAGACTGGCTTTCATGAGCTATGTGTCACCAATCAAGGCTTCTGCAGCTAGCTCTGTGTTATCTAAAATTAACTGAATTCATGTATTTATCCACAGTATCCTAGTTACATTAGATAGGTAGCCTCTGCTTTTGATTTTGTTCATTTGCGGCATACCTTCCTGTTACAGCTGCAATATGAAGATCCTTGAATCATATTAATCAGCCAGCTGGCCAAACTTTAGTGCTTTGGTCTGGCTCTTAAACAGAATTCTACATTCCTGCTGTGCAGAGAAAAGGAAGGCAGAATGTTTGCTGCTGGTTGGTTAAAGGAACATAAATTAATGTTCTATTATTAAAAGAAAGAAGAAAAACTAAGTATCGCACTAAGTATTTACAGTTAACAATTTGTTCCTGACTCTGCCTCTTATCTAAATTGAAGTCAGCACTGAATGCTTCACTGATATACATCTTGCAATGATATTAAGCCTATATTTAGCAATTACAGAGCCTCATCTTGCAGCTTTAATACATGAGAAAGGTGTTCCTGTCAGTAAATATTACAGGACTGGGCACAAAGTCCTTCAAAGAAACCTATTTTTGTTGGCTTTTTGGTCTTGTATCTCCCCGCCCCACACACACACACATATCCCAGGAAATTTATTGTTTAAAACATAGTAGTAGGTCAAGAGATAATCACTTTTTTTCCCCCCACACTAAATCTTACTTGTTACTGTTAAAAAAATTGATTTGTTATTCATTAATTTCAATTAGTTTCATCTGCCCCTTCCCTCCACCCTAACCAATTATACAATTGAGTTTTACAATAAAACTTCATTTTTTATGGCGCTCAGACTCTAAAGATATGCCAGTTTATAGCTTGTTGATCAAAAGTCTTCTGTTATGTTTATTGGCTTTAATATAAGATGTGCTATTTCTTTGATTTAGTAATAGCCTAATTAATTTGTCAGACAGGCAGTAATGTGAAGTATGGTATGGTTGTAAAATCTTACTATTTCTAAATTTATGCAGGCAAGACATGATACCATGTGATGCTGAAATGTCTGTCCTGGGTATTTCTACGAAGATAAGCATGCCTACCGATCTCTGGTCCAGTTCAGTTTGGCTTGAGACAGGTCCTATATTTATAGGTGGTTTGCCTCATCGCTACGCAAAAAAACAGGTATTCTCTCTCTCTCTCTCATTTTTCTTTTCTTTTTTTAAGGGAGACTGTAATTTACTGTCTTGTGAGGAGTAATTCTAAACACATACACAGCATGGGTTAAACACTATTTTTGCAGTGGAACTCCAGGAGACTGCATTGTTCCCTGGAACAGCTTGTTTGCTACTGACCCATTCCTATCGAAAAGGTGACCATATTTTTAAAATCTAAAACTAAATACTGTTGTGTAAGCACACTTTTAGGATAGTACATTATTCATAAAAGTACACTTGAAAAATGTTGGTGTCACTACTGCCAGGTTCTGACACAAGGGAAATGTGCACTTATTTCTTGCTATGGAGGATTTTTTTCTGAGTGAATTTCTCAGGGAAATACTGGACAAGTTCATTAACTTTAATTATGAGCAAATGAACAGTTTTGGTTTATACTAATTTTACTTTTTTGTTCAACGTAAACACCATTTATCACACCCAGCGTTCATTCTACTGGAGTGTGTGTGTGGTAGAGCCAGGAGTACTCTCATGGATGGTTATAAACTGTTCAGGAAGGACAGGCAGGGCAGAAAAGGTGGGGGAGTAGCACTGTATGTAAGGGAGCAGTATGACTGCTCAGAGCTCCGGTACGAAACTGCAGAAAAACCTGAGAGTCTCTGGATTAAGTTTAGAAGTGTGAGCAACAAGAGTGATGTAGTGGTGGGCGTCTGCTATAGACCACCGGACCAGGGGGTTGAGGTGGATGAGGCTTTCTTCCGGCAACTCACAGAAGCTACCAGATCGCACGCCCTGGTTCTCATGGGTGACTTTAATTTTCCTGATATCTGCTGGGAGAGCAATACAGTGGTGCATACACAATCCAGGAAGTTTTTGGAAAACGTAGGGGACAATTTCCTGGTGCAAGTGCTAGAGGAGCCAAGTAGGGGGGGAGCTTTTCTTGACCTGCTGCTCACAAACCGGGAAGAATTAGTGGGGGAAGCAAAAGTGGATGGGAATTTGGGAGGCAGTGACCATGAGTTGGTTGAGTTCAGGATCGTGACACAAGGAAGAAAAGTAAGCAGCAGGATACGGACCCTGGACTTCAGGAAAGCAGACTTTGACTCCCTCAGGGAACGGATGGGTAGGATCCCCTGGGGGACTAACATGAAGGGGAAAGGAGTCCAGGAGAGCTGGCTGTATTTCAAGGAATCCCTGTTGAGGTTACAGGGACAAACCATCCCGATGTGTCGAAAGAATAGTAAATATGGCAGGCGACCAGCTTGGCTTAACGGTGAAATCCTTGCGGATCTTAAACATAAAAAAGAAGCTTACAAGAAGTGGAAGGTTGGACATATGACCAGGGAAGAGTATAAAAATATTGCTCGGGCATGTAGGAATGAAATCAGGAGGGCCAAATCTCACTTGGAGCTGCAGCTAGCAAGAGATGTCAAGAGTAACAAGAAGGGTTTCTTCAGGTATGTTGGCAACAAGAAGAAAGCCAAGGAAAGTGTGGGCCCCTTACTGAATGAGGGAGGCAACCTAGTGACAGAGGATGTGGAAAAAGCTAATGTACTCAATGCTTTTTTTGCCTCTGTCTTCACTAACAAGGTCAGGTCCCAGACTGCTGTGCTGGGCATCACAGCATGGGGATTAGATGGCCAGCCCTCTGTGGAGAAAGAGGTGGTTAGGGACTATTTAGAAAAGCTGGACGTGCACAAGTCCATGGGGCCGGGCGCGTTGCATCCGAGAGTGCTAAAGGAATTGGTGGCTGTGATTGCAGAGCCATTAGCCATTATCTTTGAAAACTCGTGGCAAACGGGGGAAGTCCCGGATGACTGGAAAAAGGCTAATGTAGTGCCAATCTTTAAAAAAGGGAAGAAGGAGGATCCTGGGAACTACAGGCCAGTCAGCCTCACCTCAGTCCCTGGAAAAATCATGGAGCAGGTCCTCAAAGAATCAATCCTGAAGCACTTACATGAGAGGAAAGTGATCAGGAAGAGTCAGCATGGATTCACCCAGGGAAGGTCATGCCTGACTAATCTAATCACCTTCTATGATGAGATTACTGGTTCTGTGGATGAAGGGAAAGCAGTGGATGTATTGTTTCTTGACTTTAGCAAAGCTTTTGACATGGTCTCCCACAGTATTCTTGTCAGCAAGTTAAAGAAGTATGGGCTGGATGAATGCACTATAAGGTGGGTAGAAAGTTGGCTAGATTGTCGGGCTCAACGGGTAGTGATCAATGGCTCTGTCATAAATATAAAGGGAAGGGTAAACCCCTTTGAAATCCCTCCTGGCCAGGGGACAGCTCCTCTCACCTGTAAAGGGTTAAGAAGCTAAAGGTAACCTCGCTGGCACCTGACCAAAATGACCAATGAGGAGACAAGATACTTTCAAAAGCTGGGAGGAGGGAGAGAAACAAAGGGTCTGTGTGTCTGTCTATATGCTAAAAGAAAAGGAGTTCTTGTGGCACCTTAGAGACTAACCAATTTATTTGAGCATGAGCTTTCGTGAGCTACAGCTCACTTCATCAGATGTATACCGTGGAAACTGCAGCAGACTTTATATACACACAGAGAATATGAAACAATACCTCCTCCCACCCCACTGTCCTGCTGGTAATAGCTTATCTAAAGTGATCAACAGGTGGGCCATTTCCAGCACAAATCCAGGTTTTCTCACCCTCCACCCCCCCACACAAATTCACTCTCCTGCTGGTGCGAGCCCATCCAAAGTGACAACTCTTTACATAATCAAGTCGGGCTATTTCCTGCATAGATCCAGGTTTTCTCACATCCCCCCCACCCCCATACACACACAAACTCACTCTCCTGCTGGTAATAGCTCGCAGGAGAGTGAGTTTGTGTGTGTATGGGGGTGGGGGGGATGTGAGAAAACCTGGATCTATGCAGGAAATAGCCCGACTTGATTATGTAAAGAGTTGTCACTTTGGATGGGCTCGCACCAGCAGGAGAGTGAATTTGTGTGGGGGGGTGGAGGGTGAGAAAACCTGGATTTGTGCTGGAAATGGCCCACCTGTTGATCACTTTAGATAAGCTATTACCAGCAGGACAGTGGGGTGGGAGGAGGTATTGTTTCATATTCTCTGTGTGTATATAAAGTCTGCTGCAGTTTCCACGGTATACATCTGATGAAGTGAGCTGTAGCTCACGAAAGCTCATGCTCAAATAAATTGGTTAGTCTCTAAGGTGCCACAAGAACTCCTTTTCTTTTTGCGAATACAGACTAACACGGCTGTTCCTCTGAAACCTGTCTATATGCTGGTTTCTGCCGGGATAGACCAGGAATGGAGTCTTAGAACTTTTAGTAAGTAATCTAGCTAGGTATGTGTTAGATTATGATTTCTTTAAATGGCTGAGAAAAGAATTGTGCTGAATAGAATAACTATTTCTGTCTGTGTATCTTTTTTGTAACTTAAGGTTTTGCCTAGAGGGGTTCTCTATGTTTTTGAATCTAATTACCCTGTAAGATATCTACCATCCTGATTTTACAGGGGGGATTTCTTTATTTCTATTTACTTCTATTTTTATTAAAAGTCTTCTTGTAAGAAAACTGAATGCTTTTTCATTGTTCTCAGATCCAAGGGTTTGGGTCTGTGGTCACCTATGCATATTGGTGAGGCTTTTTATCCAACATTTCCCAGGAAAGGGGGGGTGCAAGTGTTGGGAGGATTGTTCATTGTTCTTAAGATCCAAGGGTCTGGGTCTGTAGTCACCTAGGCAAATTGGTGATGCTTTTTACCAAACCTTGTCCAGGAAGTGGGGTGCAAGGTTTTGGGAAGTATTTTGGGGGGAAAGACGCGTCCAAACAGCTCTTCCCCAGTAACCAGTATTAGTTTCGTGGTGGTAGCGGCCAATCCAAGGACAAAGGATGGAATCTTTTGTACCTTGGGGAAGTTTTGACCTAAGCTGGTAAAGAGAAGCTTAGGAGGTTTTTCATGCAGGTCCCCACATCTGTACCCTAGAGTTCAGAGTGGGGGAGGAACCTTGACAGGCTCCATGTCTAGTTGGCAGCCGGTGTCAAATGGAGTGCCCCAGGGGTCGGTCCTGGGGCTGGTTTTGTTCAATATCTTCATAAATGATCTGGAGGGTGGTGTGGATTGCACTCTCAGCAAATTTGTGGATGATACTAAACTAGGAGGAGTGGTAGATACGCTGGAGGGCAGGGATAGGATACAGAGGGACCTAGACAAATTGGAGGATTGTGCCAAAAGAAATCTGATGAGGTTCAATAAGGATAAGTGCAGGGTCCTGCACTTAGGACGGAAGAACCCGATGCACAGCTACAGACTAGGGACCGAATGGCTAGGCAGCAGTTCTGTGGAAAAGGACCTAGGGGTGACAGTGGACGAGAAGCTGGATATGAGTCAGCAGTGTGCCCTTGTTGCCAAGAAGGCCAATGGCATTTTGGGATGTATAAGTAGGGGCATAGCGAGCAGATCGAGGGATGTGATCGTTCCCCTCTATTCAACATTGGTGAGGTCTCATCTGGAGTACTCTGTCCAGTTTTGGGCCCCACACTACAAGAAGGATGTGGATAAATTGGAGAGAGTCCAGCGAAGGGCAACAAAAATGATTAGGGGTCTGGAACACATGACTTATGAGGAGAGGCTGAGGGAACTGGGATTGTTTAGTCTGCAGAAGAGAAGAATGAGGGGGGATTTGATAGCTGCTTTCAACTACCTGAGAGGTGGTTCCAGAGAGGATGGTTCTAGACTATTCTCAGTGGTAGAAGAGGACAGGACAAGGAGTAATGGTCTCAAGTTGCAGTGGGGGAGGTTTAGGTTGGATATTAGGAAAAACTCTTTCACTAGGAGGGTGGTGAAACACTGGAATGCGTTACCTAGGGAGGTGGTAGAATCTCCTTCCTTAGAAGTTTTTAAGGTCAGGCTTGACAAAGCCCTGGCTGGGATGATTTAATTGGGGATTGGTCCTGCTTTGAGCAGGGGGTTGGACTAGATGACCTCCTGAGGTCCCTTCCAGCCCTGATATTCTATGATTCTATGAT